GGGGGGGGGAGAAGCGGAGAGGGGGAACTACATTTGGACATTTGTGAATTTAGGGGTGTCATCCTTGCTCTATTCGCACTTGGAAAGCATAAAGCTGATCATAATTATGGTCATGTTCGTGCTTTGTTAGCATGAACGTCGCATGAACCTGGTCATAATCATGGTCATGTTCGTGCTTTGTTAGCATGAACATAGCATGAACCTGGTCATAGTCATGGTCGTGTTCGTGCTTCGTTAGCATGAACGTAGCAACAGCGCGGCCTGGCCCTTAGCGCCAGTGAGTGTACCGCCAAGACGGATCGCTGCAGCATTCGCCTGGCGCACCGGCCCACGTGGATGGAATATGAGCTACATACAGGCCCAGCCGTAGATTGCCAAGATCAGTGGGTCTGTATTTAGCTCATAATATGGGAAAGAGGGCCACTGGCCCAGTTCGTTCTTACAGTATCGCAGAATAGAGAAAAGGCCAGCCCGTCCTTCGGGACATCCGTTCAAATTGGAACGATGGCCCCTGCGCTTTCAAGGATGATACGCATAAATCGAGAAATGGTCTTTAAAAAAAAAAAAAAAAAAAAAGGGCCAGCCCAAAAGCACAAACAAAAACGCAAAAAAAAAAACAGCCAGCGCCTTCTGTTCCTGCTCGGAATATTCCTTTCGGATCAGCCCCCGCTGGCGCTATGTTCACTCTCGGCAAATACGAATCTGGTCATAAATCTGGTCACGTTCGTGCTTTGTTGGCATGAACATAGTAACCTCCATACAACCCTCTTGTGACCCGATTTTGGACACGTCTCGGATGCACGACATACTACCCTCTTAACCCGAGCCGAACATAACGTTCCATTATCATGAACGTAGACAGACCCTGTTCCGGTCCAAGTACAGAGAAGAAAGTAACCGAAGTGCTGATACTGCGATACACAGGGCCCGTATATAACCCACAACGTATCCACCCACATTTATTTTTATTTTTATTTTTCCCTTATGCGCCCATGTTTTGTATTTTACCGATTAACAAAAAAAAGAGGAACTTGAAAGACATACACACATGCAAGCACTAACACAGAGACACAGAAAGACAGACAGACAGACAGACAGACAGACAGACAGAGAGAGAGAGAGAGAGAGAGAGAGAGAGAGAGAGAGAGAGAGAGAGAGAGAGAGAGAGTAATCAGCTCCAGTGCTGATACAACGTATGAACCGATCGTTTCACCTATTTCATTTGACAATGATGCAAAGGGACGCTGGACCCGATTTCCAGCAGGTGCACCTGGTCACGTATGTTATATGTAAGGGACGCTGGACCCGATTTCCAGCAGGTGCAGCTCCCCACCAATGGAAGGAGCA